GTGTGTGTGTGTGTGTGTGTGTGTGTGTGTGTGTGTGTGTGTGTGCAGGAGACAGGCAGCAGGATGGGTAGGTAAGCATCCATCCATCCATTTGTTAGTCCTTCAACATGCATCTGTGAGCCGGTGAAGTCAGCCTTTGAGTTGAACCAGCAGGAAGCTAGCAGAGCCCCAAGCCAAAGGCACTCTTTGTTATCCCTGGTGGACACCTCAGGCTGCTAACCACGGGGTCAGCAGTTCAAAACCACCAGCCGCTCTTGGGGGGAAAGGGGGAAGATGAGCCTTACTACTCCTGTAAAGAGTTTGAGTCTCAGAAACACATGGGTAGCTCTACCCAGTCTTATGTAGGGTCACTGTGAGTCGGCATCGACAAGGTACTGGCAAGACTGGTTCCTACTGGAGGCTCTTGGGGAAAACTTATCCCTGTCGCTTTCAGTTGGAAGCCCTGGTGGGGTAGTGGTCACGCATTGGGCTATGAACAGCAAGGTCTGCAGTTTGAAACCACCAGCCACTCTGCGGGAGAAAGATGAGGCTTTCTACTCCCTGCAAAGAGTGACCATCTCAGAAACCACAGGGGCAGTTCTGGCCTATCCTGTGAGGTCCCTGTGAGTCGGCATTGACTGCATGCCTGTGAAAGGCTGCTCACACTCCTTGGCTCACAGCAGCATCCCTCCTATCTCTGCTTGAGTTATCACATCAACTGCCCCACCCCACCCCCATCTGACTTCCTGCCTCCTTCTTACAAGGATTCTTTGCATCTCAAGATCCTTAACTGAATCGTACCTGAAAACTCCCCTTTCCCACGTAGAGCCGCATGTGTACAGGCTGCAGGGGTGAGGACACCCTTTGGTGGGGGGGCTTATACTGTACATGGAGTAAAGATAAGGGCTTAGCACATTGCCCAAGGGAGGAGCCACTGGGAGGATTTCTGAGAACAGGGGGCATTTGATGTGGAACTTGAATTGAGAAGAATTGAATTGAATTGGGAAGAGGGAATTAGGAAGAATGAGATTGGTGTTCCAGTAGAGGGGTCCCCTTGAATGAGCGCCTCTGAGTATGCTTGTGTCTGTGCTAAGCAGTGGGGTGACTGCACGTTTGTGCCTTGTTTTGACCGATCAAATGAGGTGGTCAAAGCAAGGGAATTCAATGTCAAGGCCTGTACCGTCCTTTTCTTCGAGTGTGGGTGGGGCTTATGATGATGCTGGGATGCTACTCCCACAATTCTATTGCTTTAGACTCAGGGTGGCCCTATGGGAGGGAGTAGATCAGCAACAGTGGGTTTCTGAGAATCATCTTTCTCCCTTGGAAGGGCTGGTATGTTTGAACTGGGGACCTTGTGGTTAGCAGTCCAACGGGCCACCAGGGCTTCTGACTCTCATGGTTGGATGACCTTATATGACAAAGGCGAGGAGGTTTGCCCTGGAGGCCCAAATGATTACTTGTGGTGTTTTGTTATGTTGCACACTGTGTCCCGAGCCCAAACTAACTCAGTGGTACCTGTCACCAGCAGCAGCAGCAACAACAACAGCAACAACAACAATACGGATGATTGGCAGAGCAAACCCACATGGCAGTGCTGTGGGAGAAAGGCCTGATGACGCGCTTTTGTCAAGATTTCAGCCAAGAAAATCCTACGGAGCAGATGTACTCTAACACACAGGGGGCACCATGAGTTGGAATTGACCTGATGACAAGGGGTAGTCAAAGGAGATCATCCTGGCCTGACCCACTCAGGTGAGCTCTTAAAAAGAGGATCTAGGCCTGTCCTGAAGAGAGATTCAAGGTCACAGGAAAGTTTCCTTATTGCCTTCGAAGAAGTAAACTGCATAGTGTGGAGGGGGCCACATGGCAGGCAACAGTGGGTGGCCTTTAGGACTCAGTCCTACATTGTAAGCACCTGAATCGTGTCATCAGTGAACCTGGAAGGGGAACCTGGGGTCGCACTTGAGATAGCAGGCCTATTGAAACCTTGGTTTCAGCTCTGGAAGACCCTGGGCCAAGGACCCAGCTAAGCTGTTTCTTGCAGTCTGACCTGCAGAAACTGTGAGTGAGTGCCGTTTCAAGCCACTGAGATCATGATAATCTGTTACATGGTGATAGCAAACTTCTAAAGAAGGCCATGGAAGCAGCAGTGAGGAGATCAAAGGATGTGTTGCATTAGGTAAATCTGTTGCACAAGACCTCTTCAGAGTATTGAAGAGCAAAGATGTGACTTTGAGAACTAAAGTGCTCCTGACTCAAGCCATGGTGTTCTCCACTGCATCGTATGCATTCGAACAACCTTGAGCAGAATGGGAATTCCAGAACACTTCATTGTGCTCATTTGGAACTTGTACATGGATCAAGAGGCAGTTGTGCGAACAGAACAAGGGAATACTGCATGGTTTAAAATCAAGAAATATGTGCATCAGGGTTGTATCCTCTCACCATACTTGTTCAATCTGTGCGCTAAGAAAATCATCACAGAAGCTGGATTACACGGAGAGGAGTGTGGTGGCACCAGGATTGGAGGGAGGCTTATTCACAACCTGGGATATGCCATGACACAACCTTGCCTGCTGAAAGTGAGGAAGACCTGCAGCACTTGCTGCTGAAGATCAAGGATTGTAGCCCTCAGTAAGGATTACAGCACAATGTAAGGAAGACCAAAATCCTCACACCTGGCCCAATAGGTAACATCATGATAAATGGAGAAAAGGTTGAAGGTGTCAAGGATTTTGATTTCCTTGACTCCCCAATCAGTGTTCATGGAAGCAGCAGTCAAGAGATCAAAAGACGTATTGCATTAGGTAAATCTGCTGTACATGACCTCTTAAGAGTATTGAAGAACAGGATGTTACTTTGAGGACTAATGTGCGTGCACCTGTCTCAAGCCATTGTATTCTCCATTACATAATATGCATGTGAACGATGGACATTAAATAAGGAAGACCATAGAAGAACAGATGCATTTGAATTGTGGTGCTGGAGAAGAATATTGAAAGTACCATGGACTGCTAAAAGGACAAACCAATCTGTCTTGGAAAAAGTAAGGCCAGAGTGCTCCTTAGAGGCAAGGATGGCAAGACTTCGTCTTCACATCCTTTGGACATATTGTCAAGAGAGATTAGTCCCTGGAGAAGGACATCATGCTTGGTAAAACGGAGGAGCAGAGACAAAGAGGAAGGCTCTCAAGGAGATGGACTGACAGTGGCTACACCAATGGTGAGGATGGCACAGGATGGGCAGCGTTTCCTTTTGTTGTGCACAGGGTCCCTGTGGGTTGGAACCGACCCGCGGGCACCCAACAAGAACAATAGTAGGTCATCTTGAATGCAAAGGCCCGGGGAC